TAATGTTGTAATAGTCTTAGATTTACTTTTACGCATTTTATTGCTTTCGAATGCCATGATAGTAAAAACTAGGGTTTGTATGCAAATGACCAAAATCAAACAAATAGCATGACTAAATACAAGACAAAAATGCATGAAAAATGACAACAGAATGCACACAAGCACCCTAGGGTTTCATCCACTTTGTTTCCTTAAAATGGCCATGATATGCATGCTAGGTATCTTGGCAAAACAAAATCAAACAAAAAGATCATAGTCCCTCAATGACGCTATCTTGGTTGCCTAAACAAAAATGATCTAGTCCCTCAAAAACTTGCTAAGATACTTGGCAATATTGTTATCATGGTCATACGATGACCCGCGCCCGTCCCGTTTAACATCCAAACACAAGGTTGTTTACCAAATACAATGGTAAAACAACAATGTCAAAGGGTTAAAAATGTGTAGGAAAGATCTTTGAGTAGGGTAGACAACTCTTAGTTACTTGATCAAACTTGCAAACCATCCTTGCTATTTTCAAAAACACATACACAATTTCAAAACAACTTCCCAACAAACTTTCAAACATTGAAATATTTTTCAAAAGACAAATACATCTTTGTATACATTCTTCAAACAAGGATCATTACAAAGATTGCCACAACGATGGCCTCTTTTCAAAATACTTTCAAAACCACACAAAGCACCATTTCAAATAATTGAAAAAGCAAAGCAAGTGATCTAAACAAGTAACTAAGAGCCCATGGATAACCATTGATGAAAAGGGTGCTCGCACCTTCCCTTTTCATAATCTCCCCCGAACCCAAGAAACAATCTCAAAGGTCTTTCCTGTGCTTTTTGACCTTTCCTTTGGATAAAATAAAAAGTCGGTGACGACTCTTGCTAAACCGAAACATTTGTAAACACAAACGCAAAATCTCAAGTCAGTTCTCCCACCGTATCACATAGTACTATAGTTATTTTTTAAATATAGTACTATAGTTATTTATTTTTTTAAATATAGTATTATAGTTATTTTTTTAAATATGCATTTTAACCTATTCTTTTTCTTTATTCATAAAAAATATAATATAAATGTCATTAAAATGTGAGTTTTTTCTCAATTACAATTAATTACATACTTATTACATAATTAGCGAATTATATATAAATTAACTAAAACTCTATCTTTTCATTCTTATTAAAAATAGAAGGACAATAAATAAAAATCAAAAGCATTCAATTAAAATGATTATTAAGATATGAAAAAATATATTTAATTAGTCTTAATCAAGGTTAATATTAAAAATGAGTACAAATGAAAGTTGTGTTTTTCATATACATCATAATTGTGTGAGGTATAATTTGTTTATGTTAATATTATGTGTTATTTTAAAATAGAGAGAAAATCTTTAACATATATATTTGCTCTTATTGTATTGTAAGGCAGGAGACAAAATTTCTTAAATAAAAAATATTTTATAATTATTTACCGTTTACAAATGAAGTTATAGTAACATTAAAATTAGTTGAATAATTTGATATTTTTATTAATTGAAAACAATATTAAAAAAAAAATTGTACATTAACCTTTACTAACAAAATTAAATAACAAATGATTATTAAGATACTAATAATATTTTATTTCATTTCAAATGCTCTATAAATAAAATGCACATAAAAAATAAAAAATAAATCCTGAACAAATTAAATAACATTTAAATATTGAATACAAAACATTTAAAAAGGCTTAAATGCAGTTTTGACCCCCCTAGTTTAATGTTTTTGGAGTTTAGATCCCCCTAGTTTAAAAGCCAGGTTTCTAGTCCCCAAAATTTTCAAATTTGGGATTTTTGAAGCCCCCTCCATCTGGCTGCCCAAAAAGTGACATGACACAGGGAGAGTAATGCCACATATTATTTTCTTATTTCTTATTTAGAATAATATTTTTTAAACATTTAAATAAAGGATATTAATTTCCAAATGAATTTTTAATTTCATAATTAATATTTTCTGAAAATCCCAAATTGCTTAACCCAATTTGGGATTTTCAGAAAATATTAATTATGAAATTAAAAATTCATTTGGAAATTAATATCCTTTATTTAAATGTTTAAAAAATATTATTCTAAATAAGAAATAAGAAAATAATATGTGGCATTACTCTCCCTGTGCCATGTCACTTTTTGGGCAGCCAGATGGAGGGGGCTTCAAAAATCCCAAATTTGAAAACTTTGGGGACTAGAAACCTGGCTTTTAAACTAGGGGGATCGAAACTCCAAAAACCTTAAACTAGAGGGGTCAAAACTGCATTTAAGCCTTTAAAAAAAAAGTGATTAATAGGTAGTCATCAATAGAAAAAAAAATACATAATTGTTTTACTATAAAAAATCACAACTAAGTTTATTTTTACTCCATATTGCCAAACATCTTAAATCCAAACATAAAAAACATTAATCATCAACCAAAACTAAGTTAAATATTTCACTTGACAAATGAATAGAAAAAAACACAAGTTTAATGAGTTTCTTTGTTACAAAAGATTTTGCTACTCCCATTTTGTAATATTTTTTACAAAGAATCTTTAGCAGGATTAAGATAATCTAATATTTCAAACTTCACTTCTTCCAGCAATGGTGTTGATGGCCCTGTCCTTGAGTAAAAGTTTGCCAAAGATCTCACTGCTTTTACTAAAGCAACATATGATTCTTGCAAGGAATCAATCTAAACCATGATTATATTAAAAATCTGGCCTACAACAAAATGCTAAAATGAATTCTAGTTAAAACATGAATTTTCATTGCTTAAGTTCAGACAAAAGTACATACTTCTTGAGTAATAAATTGGTTTCCCCTTCAACTATAAAGATACTCCTGAATCGACTTCTTTGCCGCATCTACAATCCGTCTAAACTTAGCATTATCATCAAGCACTTCATATCTGAATAAGCCCTTAGAAAAACAATGCCCTACCATAAACTAAACCATATACAAAACAAACCAGAATTTCACAAATTCAAGACCTGATATATTACACAAAAATAGACCTGTTGCGCCAAAGTCATGACATAAAGGAAATAAAATCATCAAAAGCATGATAACTCCATTAAAGTAAAGTACACATATAAGAGTTCTAAAGAGAAATCCAAGTGTAGCTGCACACATGTGCAAACATTTGACTCAGTTAAAGTTAGAGTTTTGATATCCAAGAAAAAAGATTGGCTTAGCTAAGGTTTTGTGGTGTTCTGGTTCATCAATTTTGTGGCAGCCATATAATCTTTGCTATAAAAAATACTTCCTGAAGCCACATGGTTTAAATTGACAATAAATTTCATAAACAAAACAATAATCCAAATTCCAAATTCAATCCAAAATAATAGGACAGAAGTACACACCAGATCATGAAATTTCTCATAGTCTATCCATGTAAAACATTGTCCATCAATTTTGAACTTCTTAGTTTTTGCTAAGAGGAGAGACACTATATTTGTTTAGAAGTTATACAATAGTAAAATTTCAAGATTTCAAAGCTTACCATAAGGGGATTCTTCAACCATCGCAACAACCACTTTATCTTGATTTTTCGAAGTGACCTAATCATCCATATCAGGTTGGTTCCCATTCAAAATTTGCTCATCCGGAAGATCACCAACTACAAACAAAACACCATATAACATTAGGTACAAACGGTACATAACAAAAACATAAAATCACCATACAAAAACAATATCCAACAAACACCCACTCATTCACAAAAATCAGTCTTGTTTTATAGCTTTAGTCCATTGACTGTGACATTGACATATATTTTGGTATTGAAACAGATCAAACAACAAAGAGATAAAATTCTAAATACAGAAGAAAGGGGCGAGAGGCAGGTACCATTGAGAGTGACAGAAGATTATAAGAGAAGAAGAACAATTTTTGTGAACTCAATTGAATGTGGGATTTTAGGTATTCAAATGTAACTCAAATTTGAGTGTGGGATTTTAGGGTTATACTGTAACCCTTTTGAATTGTGTAGCAATAATATATGTGTTTCTTTTACCAAAAAATAAAGACTTTCCATTGTCCAAGATATTAATTTTGCATTTTAATCTGTTTTCCTATGTTAAAAGAAAGTTCAGGAGACATATAAGTTTGATCTATTATTAATATATAAACTTTAAAGTACCTGGAAATCCAATATATACCCTCTAATTAAAATTAACTTTTAAACTAGTCATTAAGGGCAAATTATTCTTTTTGATCTACTCCTATCACCATATTATTTTGACATTTAATGGCACTGATGTGTCAACAAATATATTTTCCCACCATTTTTTATTTTTTTAATCACTAATCACTAATTATTTAATCACTAATAACTAATTATAATTAATTTATTTTTTAAAAAACCTAATCTATTTATTAAATACGAGGAGGCCACACTGCAGTAATATTGATTATGTACAATTAGTGGCTATAGGAGGCCACATTGCATAACTCTTGCAATTCCAATGCAAGTGTATTGATAGCAGTCATCAACGTCACAACTTACAACAATGGAGAAATCCATCCTTTCAAATTTAGGTTCCTCCTGACCCAATCATAAATATCCTCCATTGTATCTCTTCAAACCTCAATCTATCCTTTCTCCAATCTTCAAGTGTTCACAATACTCAGGTAGTCAACATCAATCCATGACATTTTTTTATTCGATGTTTCTGTTTGTGTCACAAATCCTATCGGATTCAACCCCAAATTCATGGATTTTATTTTGTTAAAATGATGGTTTCAACCCCAATTTCATGGATTAGGTTAAATTCCTGTGTAAGATAATGAAAATTTCAGATCCTGATTGAAGAATATGTGTTTGCTTCACATGTGAAATTTTAATTTACTTTTTTTAGCTGTTGATACAGTTCTGTTATTCTGATTAGGGTAAATGCTTTCATGTTGTTGTTACCGTGTTATGCGGTTGTTTCAACAATTCCTAATTCTAATTTTGTCATGTTGTTATTACAGGATATATCATCATATATGGCTCTCCCAATTGAAGCAGTAAAGGATATCAATGAGTCAAATGATTTATGGAAGATTGCTGTTAGGTGTAAACATTTGTGGATTGTGACGGGTGCTTCGAAAAAGGAACACATTGAGATAATTTTGGTTGATTCTAAGGTATTTTAGCAGCCTGACCATTCTTAGTTTGTATTTGTAATGTTGATGTCTGTAATAATAACTTTATATGTTCGTTTATTGTAGTTAGATGTGATTCAAGTCATTGTGCCACCCTTCTTGGTTTCAAAATTCAAGGAACATCTCGCGGCTGGATGTTCATACATAATGCAAAATTTCAAAGTGTCAAACAATGATTTCTCTTTTAAGTCCACTACTCATAGTTTCAAGTTGGTGTTCTATGGGTCAACTTCTGTTAAGAATGCAAAACTCCCTGATATTCCTATGGATTACCTGAACATTCTTCATTTGGATGCCATTGTTGAAGGAAAATTCCAGTATAATGTTTTGGTTGGTATGTTATTAATGAATTTTAGTTTAATTAATAAAATTTATGTGCTTAAACGTCTATAAATCTATATAGTATGTAACACATGAATTATTGTAGATATTCTTGGAGGAGTGATCGAGATTTCTCAAACCCAAATCAATAATGATAACAACAAGAGCAAAGTTGTGTTTTCAATTATTGATAATAGGTATGCTTCATGTCATTTTTTATATAATATTATTGCATTAACTAAACTAATATCATCATATTAATAATGTTAATATGTTTGACAAAATAACAGATCTGAAGTACAATGTACTCTTTGGGGTCAGCTTGCCATACCGTTTCACGATTATTATAAAAGTCATAAGGAAGATGGTAATATAGTTGTTTTGCTGATTAATGCCAGGATAAAGGAGGCTCAAGGTTTGACACTTTCAAATTTTTTGTTTTTTGACCAAATGCGAATCCAAAATTATGTAACATCAAATATTATCCTTATGTTCTATACAACTATATGTTCTAAAGAATGACTGAAACTTGCAGGAGGGTTTCCTTTGAACATCTCCAACGCTTGGAATGACACAAAGTGGCTGATTAATAATTTTACCCTTGATGAAGTTAGCAAACTCAGAGACAGGTGTTGACTGAACTCATTTTATTTATCGTGTTGTAGCATATGTTTTTGTTAATGCATTACGCGCCAAACTGATTATGAACATTTGTCTTATATTTCATGCAATATGCAGTCTGAATTGCCATTATTATCTTCATCAAGTCTTCAAGTGGACATAACACAAAACTCATATTATTCCGAGTTCGATAAGTTTCTATGGAAGGCAGAAATTTTAAGTCTTGCTGAAATAACAATTCTGCAACACGTAAGACATGTTTCATTGTATAATTACATTATAATTAACAATCATATCAAACTAACTATAGGTTTCATCATTTTATCAGGAGACTACATGTGTTACTGTTGCAACTTTGGATAAATTTGAGGCTGGACAGCCAGGCTGGTATTATGATGGATGTGTTGGTTGCACAAAAAGTGTGTCATTGCAGGATGGAAAGCTGGTATGTTATTCCAAACACATTAGTCCAGAGCCTGTACCAAGGTATTGTGTGTATCGCTATTTAGGATTCATGTTGTTCAATTTTTGGTGGCATTACATCCATGGTTTATGATTTTCTTATAAATATAAACTCAAAGTTTTGGTTGTTGACCGTAAATACAAGGCCATATTCATTTTTTTGGGACGGAGATTGCGTCAAGTTGATTGGGAAGTCCGCTCTTCAAATTAAAAATGAATTGATAAAGGTATATAATGACACCATATTAAGTTTGATTCTTTTTTTAAAAAAAAAACTTTGTAATATAGTTCATTGAGTTTATGTAGGCCGGTGAAGATGATCCTCTTGAATTCCCTTATGCACTTGATGCAATTCTAAAGCAAGAATTGGCTATTAGGGTTGTTTTTCAGCCTAACAAAGGCCAACTTTCTGTCATTAGTTGCAAAATGATGAAGATTTTCGTAAGAGAGTTAGAGGGAGTTTCAACTCAGAAGAGGTAATCTCGGTGTAAACACAAAAATATCATGGCTGATCACTCTTGATTTAATTGGACTAATATTATTTTGTCTTGGCAGCTTACTTCAAAGCTTCTACCAACGGAGCCTTCGTCCCAAGATGAATCAATATCCTTTACTGTAAGTTATTAATTCAAACTGAGCACTCTATGTAAAACACAAATCTCCATACATTGTATAATGCTTGTATATTATATCCATATTGCCAGCAGGAACCTTTATCTGCATCTATCGATTATGACCCTGCTGTTGGAAATTCAAGCCCGACTCCATCAAAAAGGACTTTACCTGATGTTGTTGAAGATATTGAGAGTGTCCAACTTTCCTCAACAAAGTTAATTAAGGATATAAAGAAGGAGAAGTAGTTATATTCAAATTTATGATATGTTAAATTATTGTTAGTTTTGAAGAAACCAATCTGATTGTTTGAAGTTTTTTGCTTTGAATACTTTGGATTTGTTTCAAAAAATCAGTTTCATCTCTTTAATAATTTTTTGGGATTGTCGAACTCCATCTTATATTATGGTTAATTGTTTTGAATGTTATACCGTGTTGTGCATCAAGTATATCTTTGTCTATTACTGTCACATATTTTAGTAGTATGCATCTCGAACCAATGCAAATCTTGTTTTTAATATACTCAATAACTGATGTTGTTTCATCAACTTAAATATATATGTGAGTTCATTGTTTATATTATGGTTTTAATGGTGTTAGAAAACAATCATGTACACTATTTGAACTTCTTAAATAATTCTCTATTTCATATATGTTATCTCTATATATGGTTTCAGTATTCTCTTCATATATTAGGATCTATAAAACTTTCATTTTGTCGTTCATTACAGGCCTAAAACCTTTAAATCTTATACTTGACTACAAAAACCTTCAAAATGAATAGTCATTTGACTTCATGCAATTCCATGAAGAAGCACGTACATACAATCATTTGCCTCCAAATATAATATGTTATTATATCTTCCACACTATTCAGTTAATGTAATTGTTATTTATTTAGATGTCTTATGTGGCATATGTTAAAAAGATGATAAAACTATATGAAGCAAGCAATTGTTGGAACCATACACTATTATACTATTAACTACAAGAACACCAAACTTGTGAAATACATTTAGCAAAAGAAGTGATACACTATTATTCTTAGTAGACTAAACCACTTAGATGCTAACAACAAATTAAAGAAACACATTACAAAAATGGTGCATGCCTAATAGCAAAGTCTTAACAAAACATATAATAAAGATAAACATAAACATGATATCATTCCCAGAACTAAACATAGAACATAACATTGTTCCCAACTTGGTACCAAATTCCTGATTTTTTCCAGCCCAAACAAACATAATATCCACTTCACTCTTTTATCTGAATTTTACCTTTTCGGTACAACCTCACAAACAAGATTTCCTTATCTGAATTGTAAGTGCATGCAAGCGTATCCCCACCTTCAGTTTTTTCCCCTTAGCATATGAATACCACCCTTTTCCCAAGTACATTTCCATATATTTCCTGTTAGATTTTATTATCTTGTATGAATGATATTCACCGGTGTGGAAATCCCTAACAAGGCACGATCTAATGTCGGGACGAAGGCAATTTTCTATCACGTTAGTTGGGAAATGCTGCATGTTAAAACACATATAATCAGTATGTAAAAATCTAATTTCTACAAAATGTAATAGATTAACTCATATAGTTAAGGATATTAATTACAAAAACTTGATTCCCCTTCTTTCTAGCTTTGCTTATCTCTTTTAACCAAGTCATCTCTTCCTTCAACTCTCCTCCACTTCCAGTCGGATTTAAAGGTTCTCCAACGATGCTCTCCTTTTTTACTTTGTTCCTTACATCATTGATTTCTGGAAACAACACATTGGTAGGAGCATTCTCAGGTAATACAGTCTCTTGCTCTTCCTTAATATTGGATAGCATCTCATAAAGTTGAGAGGTGTTTAGTGGCACAAATCTCTCCAGTAATCACAAATAATGAATGACTATAATACTACTTCAAATGATTGCATGCAACCATATTAATAACACAGGAAAAACGGTTAGTCAGATTAGAAATTGAGACTTAGCCGCTCAAGTTTGGAGAAGACATGTAACATGCTTCTCTTAGAAAACCTTATGATATGGAGAGAGACTTGTTCAACTACAAGTGAACGAATCCAATACAATGCAAGCATATCATACACAAGTTATCTTATAAATAGAATAAAATACATGCATATGTTACTTCTAAGAATGGTTAAAGGTCTTTATTTGATTTGATGTCAATGTACCTACTAATGCAGAAATTTTTTGGACAATCCCTATTATATTTCTTGGTATAATGTGTCATGCATTGCAACCCACAAACATTATTTTTTATTGCAACAATATTCCCTTTTCATTTAAGTTTCCAACATAAATATTATTACACTTTGGTAACTACTATTATACCCAACTTTTTTCATTTTCTTAAAACTAATAAAGTTTATTATATATTATAACTATGGAAACAAAGCATAACTTATATATTTAAGCCTGCCATAATTATAATGATGATGGTAGTATCTCAATATGTACCAGATGCGTGTATTAACTCTTAACTCATTGAATATTAAATTTTGTTCAGTTTCTAACATGCATCATATTATAATGTTTAACTTTATTTGTATGTAAAGGTCCTTACATTTTCCAAATTCGTGCTGATTTTTTTTTCAATACTATGGTTAATCTATACATAAACATTAACTTATTAATTAACATCATGAGAGAGAAGTTGTTACATATACATAGAACCAATAACAAACAGATTAGTTCATTTTTGTCCATATCAGTCAAAACTAAATAAACATAATGAGCTTGCAAACTGTATTCATTATTAATTGTTTCATTGCCTGATTTTACATGCTCAATTTGTGGTTAGTCTGTGTTTTTCAACTTAGATGGATTCACATATTCTGGATAGGAAAAATTAGAAACCTTGGCAAGACACAAAGGGAAGTAAATTATAAAAGATAGAAGATCTAAAAGGACCCGAGTTGATGAAATCAATATGAACTGCAACCTATCTTTTATTAACATCAGTGGTCCTACCAAAAATCCTTTCAGAACACCTCTATCCAATATCACTTCTTCCATTTTGAATGCAACAAAGAAGAATTTCAATTCAAATCCAATTGGAACTATTCCGGCAAATGCATATAGATTGAACATGGGTGTGAATCGTGTTGTTTCGTCCAATCTCCTTAAGCATTTTGGTTGTGAGAATCGATATTCTGCCTCTTCATCAATATCTAATCTCAAGACACCAACATCTGCATTAGGCAACTCCAAATCTAACATTACTTTTGATCATTTGTGTGCAAGGCAGAGAAGAGAATTATTAGACAGAAGGATAATGTGTCAAGTATACATGAAGAAAATATTGTCAACAATAATGGTGGTGATGTGTTGAACTATTCTCCACTCACTTTAAAATCCGATATGGCTCCATGTGATATAACCTCCTCATCCTATAATAAAAGGTACAATAATATACATGCACAGTCAAGTGGATACATATATTCATCTAAAATGAAGTTAAATGTTGGTGTCATTCAGTCAGTTGCTACCAATCTTTTCAATACCTTTTCAAAAATTAATCATGGAGTTTCCTCTTCATCCACAAATAATTTACCATTTACTACAAATGCTAACATTTCTATTACAAGTGCTAACATTGAAAGTGATGTGTCTGATGAAGAATGTTCAACGGATGAATATTTCAGTGATAGCTCATGTGAATTCATAAATAAAAAGGCTGAGGATGACACATCTTCATGTTCAAATGACGATCAATGCCATGTGTAATACGGTGAGAGAACTAACTTGTTTTTGTGTTTTATTACAAATGTTGCAGATAGCAAGAATCGCCACCGACTTTTATTTTATCCAATAAGGAAAGGGTGGAAAGAACAGGAAAGACCTTTATTGATTTTGAGTTAAATGGGGTAAGTTATGAAAAGGAAAGGTGTTAGCACCCTTTTCATCTGTAGTTATCTGCGGGCTCCTAATTGCTTAGCTCACTTTAATTTGCTTTGTGTGTGATTTGAAAATGTTTTGAAAATTCCAATGTAAGGAAGTCTGCTTTATAATAACCCTTGTATCAGTCCTCAAGAGTGTTTATAAAGTGTTTGAAAGTAGTTGTTTTGAAAGTGTGAGGTATGAAAATTGTTTTAGTTTGTGAGCAAGCAATTAAGGGTATCTTACCCACTAAAAGGTCTTTCATTATCCTTTTACTTCTCGGTTAGGGATGGTGCTATCCATACCATTAGTTGGTAGGTAGCCCCATCCATTGGGTGTGAAGGGAGATGTGTAGGGTCGTCGCTATGGTCATTGAAGGCAACATATGGGGACACCTTAGCAATTCGAAGGGATTGTCATCATGTAGACTTGAGCTTAGTGATACAAAGTTATAGAGAATTGAATTTCCTTCAATATGAGCTTTGGTTGGGGAAAAGTTGATGAAGCATGTGAAAGTCATGCTTAGTTAAAGTTCAATTGACTTCTCCTAAGGAAACCCTAATTTGGAAACTTTTGAATTTTGATGATTTGCGGGATTTTCTCGAGGAATCATGATCAACCCTTGATCAAATGATGGATATCACTTCAAAATGTTGATGTTGACCAAAAATCTTGAAGTTTTACTACATGTTGACCATATTTGATCAAAAGTTCATGCCAAATTTCATGCCCTGTACAACAAGTTTGCTCAGTCAACTGCTCAAATGCCTGAAAATCAATTGTATTAGGTCAAAATTCAATTGGGGCCTATATACAGTCAAACTTCAAGATTTTTGGTCAGCATCAACATTTTGAAGTGATATCCATCATTTGATCAAGGGTTGATCATGATTCCTCAAGAAATGCTCCTAATTCATCAAAAGTCAAAAATTGCAAATTAGGGTTTCTATAGGAAAAATTAACAAAACTTTGACCAGGCATAACTTTCTCATACTTTATCAAAAAAATTTCCACAAAGGCTTATTTTGAAGAGAATCCAATTTCCTACAACTTCTCTTCATCCCTAAAGATCAAGAAATGCCTCATTTAAAAGATACAAGCTCAGACATTATATGTCCTTTCAAAAAGTCAACAAAAAACACCTTTTGGGTCAAAGCTCCTTACATAAACACGGAGGATCCAATTTAGATGAAACCAAAAGGGTTATTTAGAGAACATCCTAATCTCTGTAAAAAGTCCAAGAACACCCTCTTAGGGTTAAAATTGAGAAAGATATGCATTAATAAAGTTGACCAATTTTATGAAAATGCACAAAAGTCAATGTGAGCAACTTAGATTTTTTTGAACTAATGGC